GGCATTAAGTGCCGTAATGTGCACCGCTGCTTTGGGGACAAAAGACTTCTTTTGTTCTACGCGAAATAGTTGGCATTTGGTTCCATAATGAAATTGATTCTGTTTGGTTCAGTAGTTTTTGTATTATAAGCATATTATTAATTACTTGAACGATTTCACTTTTACAATACTTCATTCATATGTATGTACGTCAATAACTTAAGTATCGTTTCTAATTCGATTTGTGTGATTATTTTTTCGGTCAGTATGGTATACTTTAGAGTTGATACCATTGTTACTTGGTTATCAACTGATGATGAGAGCCCTGGGAAATCGAGGGCCACCCTCAAATTAAAAGCACATTTTACGTTTATTCTTTCAATTTCAAGGTAAAGGTATTCAACCATTTGCGTTTCTGATCATCATCATTTCACGTCAATGAGCAGTGATGATATAAGGTACAAATTCTCACTGGTTAGGAATTCGAAGAAAATTTTTCAAAATTATCTAAATCCGCTCGATTATCTCGCAATTGGCCTATTTTGATGCTGTATTAGTACGTTAATTAACTGACTTCAAAAAAGCGGAGGAAAGAGTCGGTTTCTTAGATTAAGATGTATTTAATGAAATAATTATTGTGTTTTAGTTTTCCTTACGTTATTTATTCATTTATTAAACTTTATTGCACATACAGTGAAATTGGCGGACTTAATGCCGTAGGCATTTTCTTTATTTAATGACTATGATTTTGTAAAAAATCTAATAAAAGTACAAAAGTGAAAAATACTTAGTTACATATCTAATATCTGTTGATAACTAGGTGGTGCCACCAGCCCTATTCCTTCTTTCCTTTCATTATTTTCAAATCGTATAAAAAACATATACAAAAACATTTTCCCAATGGTTAATAAATCCTTATTTCATGAATTCTAATGGACTGTGCTCACAAGAGTTATTGAGGCGTTAATCAAATCAATGGAGCTCTTGATGTATCATACATTCATATTTAATGGCAATTAATTATTCATGCTATTAATACTACAATGCAATGCTGACACCCCTATTCAAATGGAGCAAGGTGTTAATTGAGCAATACATCGCTAGATGGAATATTGATATAGTAGGTAGGTAAGTACCTCACTTACTACGGCTGCCTCGTTGGCTCGGTGGAGAGGGGAAGGAAAGAGGAAAGGAAAGTAAAGAAGAAAGAAAAGGAGAAAGAAAAGGAGGGACTCCTTGCCCGGCAGTCGCACTTGCGACCTTTACATAGGTTGAGTTAGGTACTTACATAACATCACATCACGCCTTTTATCCCCGAAGGGGTAGGCAAAGGATAATGATGTTGATAGAGGAGAGATGCGACAGTACAATGTAACACCTACTATAATTCACCATTTACCACCAGTTACGAGTCTCATGTAATAGGGGGTGAGCCTGTTGCGATATACCAGGCGCAATACCAGACTTCGTGCTACCACTGAGTATATTTTTAATAACCTAGTAATACTTTATTGTCATTTTCATTTGTTAGACATTATTATAATACCTATATTTTGGAACTCTGAGTATCTACAACAAGTCTGTTTACATTTCGAAAAAGATGAAACGTGATCGAGAATTTTATTTATTAAAACCACTTAAGTAGTCACTGAACAAAGAAAGAAGTAGGTTGGTAAATATTTCTCTTTGAATATTGTTTTGTATCGTTGAATACAAATTTATTTGAATACAGCCTTTGTATTCTCTGTAACAATAACAACACAATTTACCAATTTCATTAAACCTTGTACTTTTGTATATAAAAGGTGCTTCTAAACGGCTGCCTCGTGTAACCGCCATGTTGTACCGAATATCCTCAACTTGAGCAATTTAACCAATAGGGTCCGGATATGATAATGTTCTATAATACAGGAGAACAACGTTGACACACGTCAACCAAACGGGTTACCGGGTCTTCGGCTCAGGGCAGGTGTAGGGACAGGATGGTTTTTACCGACCGATAGGTTGGAAGTCGGTACCATATCATAATGATATAACTCAATAGCTACAAAATTGTAAATTAGTATCTATTAAGGTTTTAATTAATAATATTGTATAGAACACTAGCAGCCCGTCCCGGCTTCGCACGGGGTAGACATTTTTTTTTCAAAATGAAATGTAGCCTATGTCAAATTGGAAGAATGTAGCATTCTATTGGTGAAAGAATTTTTTAAATCGACCCAGTACTTTTTGAGCCTTTTCATTACAAACACACAAACATACAAAAATAGGTATAAATCTTTCCTCTTTATAATATTAGTATAGATATAGATATGGCGCCGACTTCTAACCCATCAGTGGGTGAGGTGGGTAACCTATCAGTACATACCTACTAATAATTTTTTTTTTTAGACGTTACTTTTTGTTTGTTATTAGTTTTTATTAGTCAGTAAGAGTCACTGTGTCTCGCCTCACCCAAGACGAGAGAAGTCATAGGATTATTTTCCATCATCCAAAAAATGTGAGATAACGTTTTTAAAAAACACAAAACAAATACATTGGAGTACTGAAAGGCTACTCAAATTTAAGTTCTACTTAAATATCGTGCAATCACTGTCATTTTATGCCATCTCTGTAGATTAAGTATATTTCTGACAGAAATATATTCCTGACAGAAATAGGTATACTAAAGAGACCTTAAATTTTGCAATCGGCACATAGTGGACGTTTGTCAACTTGCTGATCGGAAACGTGCAGGCGCTGGTACTCATCCATCGGTAGGAGAACGCCCGCGGCTAGCATCGTCAGTGTATCCTACCCGTACACCCGATTGTAGCAAATTGAGGGAAATGATAAACTGTTGTATTATAATAAACGAGATGAAAGTTTAAAAAACGTTTATTAGCCGGTAAAGACTACAGAGAACAGACATAATGCACTAGCGCCACATGTGACAACCATCGGAAACTTTAGTTATGTTCGGAAATTACAATAAACTAAAATATTGATGTTATGTTTACTATTTCAAAATAAACGATCTGATATTCATTTTAATTACATTTTCAATCAATAGTTTGTTAATTCCATTTCGTATCAATAGGTTTCAGTTTTTTCTTTCATATTTTTGATTTAATTAAATTTTAAACAGTTTTAAACATTATTTTATAGCATTGTTCCTATTTAATAAATTAAATTATTAACGACTAGTGATCGGCCACAAAAGCAGGCGATTAGTCGATTTTCTGACTAGTTCGCGACTAATCGACACATTTCCAATAGATAATCATGCTGTAGGTTGTGCACTTCCTAATGGAAATTGGAAATTTAATGGTTGCGGTCTACGAGGTCACTTACGGGTTAAATGTAAATTACACAGGTGATTGAAATTATATTGGCCGTTCCAACACATTAATTGTTATTTGGATTCATTATAACAAAATTAGTAGGCCTTTTGTGGTGGTAATTGATTCAAATAGGGGACAACTAGTCAAATTCCATATCTAAATTCTACAATTATTCTTTTATTTTTCTAAAAAGAAATTATGAACTGAAATTATAAATATTACACTATAGACGATTTTGTAAATGATAATAATATATAGATTTGTTTCTCTTTTGATGGGTCTATGTATTTTAAATTTGTTTCTTTATTTTTGTAATCTTTCCTTTATTTCATCAATTTTCTGTTCGTTTTCATTTCAGTTCTTTTTTTTTTACTTTACAATTATATAAGCAAAATAATATTTGTACGCTTCACGGCAAAACATAGCGAACAATGTTTATTTATTTTTTGTAACACCATTATGTATATGTGTACCTATGTTATACAAATAAATATTCTGATACTGATTCTGAAAAGGAAAACACCGAACGAACCAGACACTTTTTTTTAAGTGTAAATTGATACTATGTTAAATCAATTAATGAGTCTCATTATTTACAGTTATGTAATAAGTAGAATAATTATTGGTAACAAATTATTTTTTCTTTGTTCACCACCGATATTGTTCGTTGTTTTCATTGAAATTTAAATGCCAGTTCTGATTGTTTTGCGAGTTCGACGAGCAGGAGTGCAATACTTTCTTTCATTGTTATTTGTAACCAAGGGAGTAGAGAGTAAATAAGACGGTCAGAGTTGCATTGTAAGAATAAATACAATGTTCGAGCCACCATGATGCTGGTGAACAAGGGTGCTTCTTAGCTTTTACGAGAGACAACAAACACAGTTTGCTCTTGTTATTTATTCGAGTGATATAACGCTACGATGCACATTACTTGCTGCAATGGTAAATGTAGTGATACTGCTTTAAAGCAATTTCAAAACTGTCTCATTTCTGTTTGTGATATACCACGTATTTTTATGTTTCTAATAAAAAATAGCAGTGTAATTATCGTCCAAATAATGTAGTTTGAATCATTGCACCAACACGAGACGAGTATTGACATTAATAACATCAGTTTCAAAAAAAATATCAAATGAGGCTCAGTTTTGTTTCCAATGTTTCCACGCATAGCTTTTATACAAGCTTTTCTCTATAAGCCAACATAAAAAATTTAAATTTAAACATAATCTGACGCACAGATTGAGGCTTAAAGGGATTTATCCGCAACAGCAGCCGCGGTAAATCATAACGTACACAGATGTACGAAGGTGCTAGGAAAATATTTACAGAACAAACACGATGTAGTTAAAGTCGGACGACACACAGGTCAGAGTTCCATATTAAGCGCAATTTTATGTGGACTTTACGTTAAAAGGATATGAATTTCAAACTAACTTTATATTTTACTTCGTGAAATAGGTGTTTATTTTAACTGTTGCACAGTAATGAGCATAGAGGGTTAGGTTACGTACGTATCTCTTGGACTTTTTATATTTATGTTTTGTCATGATATCGAAAGCAAACAATAAAATATCATATCCATTTAACTACAAATCTCATTTCGATATTTGTCTGCATTCGCAATGTTCCGTTTGTTTTGCAAAAGTAGTTAAACATTCATTTTTTTATTGCACCAGCAGTATTAGTTAGTGCACTTACCTTTTTGCGCGTTGCCCTGCATAATCCTTTGAATTTCACCAGCTTCGGATCCACTTTCAGATTCTGAACACAGTGATTGTCCAGCACTAGTTAACTGCATAATTTTCTTGTTAGTCACAACTTTTTTACCCCCCACACTAGTGGTTCGCACAGGAGGTCGTGGAGGGACACGAGATGATATCTCACTTACTTTATTGACATTTCGTGGCTGAAGGCTTTCAGAAGGCACTTTATAATCATTCACTTTCAGTTCACTATCACTTTTACCACCACCTGCTGTTTTACCGTATCGTTCTTCAAAACTAACACGTTTCGATGGACCTACAATTCGACCATCTTGTGGCACACTCCGATAGTAAACCGGCATTTTTTGTTCTTGAAATGCAGGAGACGGTGCTCTTGCCAAAAGCTTTTCCGGGTGACGGTAAATGATTTCAGGGTCGTCAACAGTAGTTCGGAATTGAATGAAAGTATCAGTTCTTCTCTCAGGAGCACCTCTAGCGAACGGCATTGATGTGTAAATTGGTTGATTCGTAGAATAACTTTGTAGGTCATGTCCTCGCGGTAAACTGCAACTCCTAGGCTCCACCACGTATGAGAAAGAGTTTGGAGTGCTGCAGTTAGAGTTGGCAGAGGTTTTGAAACGTACAGGACTTCTTAAAGAAGTGTTCAAAGACTGTCGGATTAAGTATTCGTCTTCCTTCTGTTTCAGTTCCTTTAACTTTTGCCAATAAAATGCTTCAATTTTTTGTCTGGTTTTTTCTTTATCACCCGAGTCTTGTCTAGAGTTTTCTGGTAATGTTGGGGTCACTCTTTGACTGTAATCTGATCTAGGCGATGATGTAGCTTTATTACGAAGACTCGTTCTGCTTAAAGAATTCCTTTTTTCCTCAGTCTCAAGCATGGTCTTCCTTACATGTTCATACGGAGAGACAGTTTTTGGCATATTCGGTATTTTATGACTAATTGGCATTGGTGAAGTAGGCGCTGAATAATTATATGGTTTGGCATTGCTTTCCTGCCTTTTGTAAGAAGTCTGTTCCTTAGGAGCTTGTTCATTTTCTTTATTATTATCAAACGATAAACTACGAGCTCTTGTTGGTTGTATCGTTCTTACTTCAGCTTCTTTCTTCGGTGATATCAAAAATTTTGTACTCACCCGTTTTATTTCTGCTCCCACAGAAGCTGGGTTTGTTTGTGCTTGTGACGCTCTATAAATTTCAATTTCATCAAACGGCGATATTTTATCGTTTAGTTTCTCCAATGAATGATAGTAAACGTCCGGATATTGTGTGTTATCGAAATTATTCACTTGATTACTTCGATTCGACGAGTGTGGCGAGTGAGGTGCTTGCGCCATTTCATTGAACGGTTTGGGTGGTACCTGTGGTCTTGCAGTGTAGCTGGTGTACGCAAAACTTTCGACTTCAGAAATTTCGTTGGTGTCAATCGATTTGTTCTTCGTACTTTCAGAAACAAGTGTGCTACTTGAAGAATGGTGGCTTGATATATCGTTGCTTTGCGTTTCGTTATCACTCTGAGGACGTGTTGTTAAATTTTCATATATACGTTCATTATCTTCCAATCCTTGACCGTTTTTATCAGATCTTATCGAACGAGGATTCTGATATTGATTGCCTTTAGAAGATTCTGTGGCACCTTTTGCATTTGACTTGGACTCTTTACTAGCTGATTTCTCTTTTGATTTGTGTGAAAAAAAGAGATTTGGAAATATTTTCCTAAAACTGCCACCACGCTTTTTACTGCTTTCCGCCATTTTGTATGGCGTGCTGCTTTGTCACCAAGTCGATAATTTCTACCTGTAAAAATTAGAATAGTCAAGTTAATGACATAAAAATCAAAATAGGAAAAGCATTCATAAAAAACAAATTAGGTTAATTATAATTGTATGTATTGTACCTTTGGATGGAAGTTGGTGGAACAAGACCTTAACATTATTAGGTCGAAGTATATACATTAAACTATTTACAATTGTCATTAAGTCATGTTTTGTTATGGACTTGTACCACCGATAGTTAGAAGCAATCAATTGTTACTTAACTATTAACCCAGTTTATTTTTTATTTGTTACTTTTTAGGGCGAGGTTGCACACGAGTGCTCGCAAAAGCAATAAAACTATTAAAAAGAATAATTTATATAATAATAGACAACTAGATAAGTCCATTACAATAATTTTCTCATTAAAATGTATGATAGTTATAAAAAAAATGCTTAACGGGCAAAAAAAACACTAAGCACATTCATACCATAATTCCCCATTGTCACATTGTTACATAATAACGATTCTCAATAAAGCAATCAATTCTGTTTCACTTCAATAGTCGTTAACAGACGCCTATGGTGTTACTCATGAAATTTAATTAACGGTATATCGGATTCTAATGGGAATGACAGAGCATCGAGGTGGTTAAAGCTGGTACTCCATCATTCATTAAGAGGATTACATCCAATACTGAAATAACTAACAATGGAATTGCGTGGCGTCGTTGAACTATTGACAATTGTACCCCATGTATTTGCTGGTTCAAATTTTGAACTACCGTTGAGATATTATGGAATAGACATGTTAGGTTTGGTTTTAGAAATACTTGAGTAGGTACCTAGTCATATTCTACTCATAGGTGAGAGGGTTGGAAACCTAATTTCCAATTACCTACAGCTAACTATTTGACAATTCTATTGCTACTAGTTGACACTTTCATGGATAACTAGCATGTCCCCAGGATTTGTAACAAGATATAAAATGTTTAAAGATCTTAGTTGAAATAATATTCCTTATTTTTTGTTATGTTATTGGTTAACAAATAAGTTGTTTAACATTTGCAAAGACTTTCCATTTTCACAAACAATTGAACGAATTTCAACCAAGCTTTTTCAATATAAACTTCAGTTGGTATATCAAAGGTATATCACTATAAATCTAGTGGTTGAATGATTGAAGGGGCTCGATGGAATTACGTTGTGCAAATCCAATGCAAGCTCCCCGAAATGTTTCCGTCACAACACCGATAGGCTTAGCACAAAGGCTGTCTCGAATGACATATCGGTGAAATTGAGCCCTTTAAGTCCTGTAGCCTGTCTGACTATCAAACGGTTAACTGCCTGAGTCGGTACAATATGTTTGAACAATAAGTATGTACTTTATATAGAATGCAAGTTGTTCGTAGGTAAATTTGATAGGTTCCTAGTTTAATTTAAACACAGTTTTTAGGGTTAATGTTGCTGAAATAAGGTATAAAAAGCTATTTTTAGACGTTAAGTCTGAACAGTGACTAAGTATGTCAAATATTTTATTTAAATTATCATCATTGAAAGTGTAATTATGTAGTATATTTTACTGAATTATTTATATTACGTGTCATTTCAAGTACCTCGTAGGATTCACAGATGGTGAGCTGATATAAGTTTGACGATTATTTATGTTTCATAGAAATAACTTATTGACAATCCGCGGAGTCAGTTGGCAGTTTCATGACTTTTTATGGGATAAGCCGCTAAACAAGCGTGCGGACCACATGATGGTAAGCAATCGGGGCCACCCATGGGCACCAGAAGCGTTACAAGTGCGTTACCGACCTTTTGGGGATCACGTCGGTTTTCTTTGAGGCCTTGGTCTCACACTTGTCGAGCCGGCCATTTTTGCCGAAGCATGGCTCCCACAATTAAAAATAGGCATTTACGAAGCTAAATATGGTACCTATAGTCATTAGTTAGACTAAGCTGCAACCTCATATCAAATTGGCGAAAGGCCAGCCTAATTGAAATATCTCATTTAAACACAAGAAGCCTTGTCATTCCTGCACTACAACGAACATGTTGTTACTGGAATATCTAAAGAGGAAGGCTAAAGCTAAATCCTATCTATCTGGCAAAAATATCGGAGCTAAGGCAAGGTACATAAATCGATGTCCAATCATGGATTGGAAGCTTGCCAACGTAATTTTCAATACACTATTAAAGAGTTGCGGAGCATCCCGTCCCGGATACCAGATACATATTTCCGTTTAGGTTAGTTTCGATATTTATTTAGATCGAAGTTGTGCTTGCAGCTTCGTGTTAGGTACAGCCAATATTGAATTTATTATATATATACAGTACAACATACATACACCGCGAAATCTATTTCGGTTTTGTCTCGCGGCAAAACAACTTGCCATAAGGATTACTTTCGATATATAAAGTAAAAACTAAAAAAAAATAAAGATGTAATTTTTCTTAAGCGTTTCACTGCCGATGGAAATCTGTTGAAGGCAAATCTTCTGCTAATCGGTTATAACCAATTGGGCCTAGCTTATTGTGTGACCTATTATTTTAAATTAAATATCTATTCATAGCTATCCATAGTCTTTGCCCACCCCTATGGAAGTATGTATTTTAAATTAGTAAGTACGTCGCTTTTGTTCTGGGCAACAATGACCGCTCCCTATATTACCACTTCTAGTTTATGCCCTTTAGCACATTTGCCTTTTTTCAAAACCTTATAATTAGGTACCATTTAATTTCTGCTTTAGAAAAAAAAAATTATATAGTTACTGCGGCAATTCCAAATTCAAGCAGTCGTGTTTTTACTAAGGACCGATTTTTCTAACTCCAGATTCAACTGAGGAAGCATATTTGACAACTCGTCCGTTCTAAAAACTATCAAATGTTAATTTTATTCTACGATGATTGAAAAATTGGCCCGCAGTGTATTAAACTATAAAGTACCTGGATGTTAATTTGTCAAGGGGAATTATTATTATGATAGTGGCTATAGTTACCCTATAAGCAAATAGTCTGAACAGCAATCTATAACCTCTAACGCTAACATAACTACATAGTACATATGTAGGTGCTGATAAAATACAGCTACCAAACCATGTGTTTCGGTAATGGCACCCAATGAATACTGAATGATTCGAAGCAGGCTGTTCAACCATTTGTCACTTAAATAATTTATAACTTCGGAATATTGACTGCCTCGTCTATAAACGGAAATAGCATACATGGTTAAAATCTTCATTTTCATTCAGAGCTCGATTTTGGTTCAATATTAAATGTATGCGCCTTTCGATCAACTACTAACATAGCGCCCAAAATCTAGGTAACTTTATCGGGTGGTAACGGGACGCTGCCGAAGAAAACCTTATGTTTTTACAATTATTATTTACACTTATTATCGGTTTTGTTTTCCTGTTAGTCATGCAACAACAGCAATTTTCAAAAAAGTAGTAATTATTTAGATATTACTATATAAAACACGTTTTTTACCATCACCCTGTTCTTGAGGAGGTAAAATCGTCCAATGGCTTCTCCTTGGGTTAGGCGAGAGGGAATGTCAGACTCTTACTGACTAAAAACCACACCGTTCCTATTCGTGCTCTTCAAGCCGGAGCCCCGGCAACTCGTTAGGCCTTCCGCGACGCCGTATTTATCATCATCTGACTTTGTTATTTGAAAGTGTTCTCTTTACACCCTGTTTGAAAAGGATCTATCATGTAGTTATGTATATCTGTTTAGAACATATAACCTAATTTTCGCGAAGTTAGCAAGTTCAAGAAAAGTGAAAGTTCTCGACAGTTGGAAACAGTGAAGTTGTAATTTAATTAAGAATATAAACGTTAGTCATTGGCGACAAATACGAACAGCAGAGGCCTTAGTACGAGTTTGTTTTACGTTTTAAGTAATCGTAACGAGTACGCGTTCGACGCTCTGATTGGTTGGTTCATTGGAGCCGGCCAATCAGATTGCCAAACCCGTACTCGTTTCAAATACTTTAAACGTAAATCAAACTCGTGGAAGGCATTTGGTGGATAGGAACAGTTAAAATATTGGTACGAAAAATATTATTTTTATATTAGTTAAAACTGCTATTAACGTATTAGATAATTGAAATTAGTTAATGGCTTACTCTCGTATCTCGTAGAAGGCTCTCGTAGGCTCTACAACTTTCAGGTCACCACGGGACTCTTATTCATTCACGTGAATAAGCCGTTAATTTTAAGTAATGTAGTATGTTCACGATATTTGTTTTACAAAAATAGGCAATGAATGAGAATATTTACTCTAGGTATTTTTGACAGGGTATGAAAATTAAAAATCTAATTACTCCGTCAGTTAGGTAATGATAAACACGGCTATAACGTCATTTCTACGTATAAAATATACATAGAAATGACGTCACGCGACATTTCCTATCAATATATCGTCGAAAGTATTCGTTTGTGTAAAAAAATAAAAAAATACGTGTCTAATGTTTTAAAATAATCTACCAGACGGACATTAAAATAAAAATTAGTCATCTACCCTATTAACTTGTCAAATATATAGGTATGTTCAATTTATTTCTAGCTATTAAGTATAACAAAATGTGCAAAAACATGCATGTTATTAACTATGCCAGACCCAATTGAAAATATAAATTCAATATACCTACTAAGAACAAAACCAAAACAGACACAAAACTTGAAACTATAACGATACTGATAAAGCCATTATTTTATTTAAAACATGATAAAAGTTATGTCATTCAAGTTGATAAGAGAATAAGCGGGCCATTCCTGATTTCATAATGATTTTTATCACAAAAAGTTTGGGACTATCTCGGTCGTTTGGTAACTTTGAAGATTAAGTGCGGGTACGGCGCAGTTCACCACTATAATGTTTCAAGATAAAATAATGTATAATATTATACAAAATATTAGAAAGAAAAGTGTGTCTTATTATACCTAAGATGTGTTAAGTACCGTACCTACCTTAATAGTTCGAGGTTCGCTTATTCTAAAGGAAACTATAGTACTTGTTAACTAGGTAATACTA